AGGAAGGCTAAGCGTTGATTATTGGGTGTTCGCAGTGTGATGAGAACTATCCGGTGTATGATTGATGCTGAGGTGGAACGGTTGTGCAAATGTTGGTTGTGCCGAAGCAGCGATTGGTCATCACAATCAACATCGGGTCATCTSGTGAGAATATCTGTGGTTGGGGGCAGCTATTTTGAGGTACGTTGCACCTAACCTTATCTACCCTCTTCGACACTTCTTACCGTGAGGATGYRTGTTCTGTTTTGAGAGTCCTCTCATGTGAGGAGTCGTGTGCGCTCAACCTTGAGAGTCGCCAATCTTCACATGGAGCATCTGGAAGGAGAGGGCGGTGCTATCTGAAGGGCCCTGGACGAAGCACTGGGTCACGGTCACCATGCCAACCCACCTGGAGTAGAGCACRCATGCTTTGCTGCTTTGTCCTTTGTCTGCTCGCTGCGCTGTAGAGGGGTCCTGAAGAGCAGGCCAGCCCTAGGGGACAGACGAGACCGGGCGTCTATAAATAAGCACCGGCGGGGTACCTTCCATTGGCTGTGATCGTCGTCCTGTCTGCGACGTTAAAGAATTCCTGAGGACWTYGGGGGCCGTCCATATAAACGCCTCCTGATCAGCCAATCGGTCGGTRTAAGGCTCGCTRCACGCGAGGATAAATATTGTGCAGGGATGGCCAGCTCARCAGGACTCGGGGCACAGGGGTGGGTCGTGTGCACACCTTTAGACACGCACGCTGTCCGGATTGCTCAGGGATTTTAACGATAAGAGACATTCAGGAAGAACTGAGGGAGGGGTAGATTCCAAGTGATAAGTTTGGGCAAGATTCCACTCTGCAGACAGACCAAACAAATGATTTTATTTTTATTTTGATTAGTTAGATGTACAACCATTAACATCTGACAAACAACATAGTTTAGAACTGTTTTCTGTTCATTGTGCGTATGTTTGCGAACTAGTCAAAGTCAAAGTAGTTTCGTTTGCAGGAACTTGAACTTACCTGTTGGACCCAAATGTATATACTCTCTGACGCAGCCACCGATTAATTAGTTTAATTATCAGTCGGTCTGTGCACTACGCTGCGGTAAGCATCAAAGAGTGTCTTAGTGCAGATTATGTACACTTTTGTAGCTTATGAGCAATAGGGATTCCACTAGTGAGGACGACCGAATCTTGCAATCGGCTAGACGCCCGATTGCCCACGTGGCATTAGGACCCRAGGGTGATAGGTTGCTATTCTGCCAGCAAAGGGAGAGGCAGCAGCAACAGCGAAGAGCTAGGGCAGCAGAGGCCAGCAGGGCATTCGCAAGAGAAGCCGCAGCTTCAGCAGCCATGGCAACTGCTGTGCAGTAGAGTTCCCAAGCTAGCAGTTCAGGGACCGTAGGGTCAACGATCGCGCAGACCCTGAGTCAGTCCACTGGCGTCATGGCAAGCTAACCATTAGTGTTGACTCCCAAGGAGGTCGCCATACAACGAGCTGCTGATCGCGAGGCACAGCTACAACAGGCTTTAGGAGAGATTAAGGCAGAAAAAGAAAGAATGATTAGAAGAAGAGTCAGGTTGCAGCGGAGACAAGCGGACATTAGCGAGYTAGAGGAGATGGACCCAGCGGAGTTGGATGATGAAGTGAGGACCATGAGGTCGGTCTTGCTATGTGTAGTAGAGATGCAAGATCACCAGACAACGATCTTACAGGACATCCAGTAGAGTCTAGCCGTCTTGGTCGGGCGAGCGCAGGCG